ATTTATTATACATAAAGTACAATGAATACATCAAGATCATTGTAATTTACTAAATTATGTATCATATTTATTGAATTTATATACAAAATAAAATCATTTACATTATGATTCATAGTAATATATTTTTTTTGTTAAATGTTTCATTGTAAAATAAATTCAAGAATTCAACGATTCATTATAAATGATGTTCATTATTTCGTATTATTATTCATTGTACCTTTACTAAAAATATTCAATGTATTATGGTGAAAGAATAAACTGTATTAGCAACATAAGAAATTTCTTGAAATCCTATCCCAGATGGCTTTTTCATTTAAAAGGTATAACAAAATCAAAAATCAACCGTGACAGATAAAAAACGTAAAACATTTGTGTGAGTACAAAAGAGATGAGCTTCATTCCACATGTAACACCGGAACTTTTGGACTTCAACTAGAGTTAAATTTTAATAAAAAAAATAAAACACAATAGAATCATATTACACCGAATTGTCTTAGATACATATGTACCTTTAAAGCATTATTAATTTATAGTAATATAATGGGATATTTATATAGGGTTTTTTTGAAAATATATTATCTTATTATTTTATCGAAATGACTAATTTTTTTCATTAACCCAAATTGAAATCGAAAAATATTATTTAAAAAAATTATTAGTTTATCGAATTAGATACATATATACTTTTAAGCATTATTAATTTATAGTAATATTAATGGGATATTTATATAGATTTTTTTTTGGAAATATATTATCTTATTATCTTATCGAGATGACTAATATTTGTCATTAACCCAAGTTGAAATCGAAAAAATTATTAGTTTATAGAATTTAAATTTAATGTGATTTTCTTGTAAATATTGACATCCCTATTCAAAACAGGCTAACTTTTTATGAAGAAGATCTCTGAAGCAAGAGAACAAGCAGGCAGTTGCAAGTTGGTGATCACTCTATGTATAGTCTAATTACATAACTATCAATATACCTAAATGTACTACTAACTTTATCATATTTTTATAATTTCTTATCATTTAAAAAAATTATAAAAATTATCTATTTCAAAATACATCATGTTAAGCAATGTATCAATTGGATATATGATGTATCAGGATGTAATACATCACTTTGCGTGATGTATCGGGATGTAAAGCATTACTTAACGCGATGTATCAATTGAATATATCACTATACACGATATATCGAAATGTGATACGTCATTATACATGATGCATAGAGATGTGATACATCACTATACACGATGTGTCGAGATGTGATACATCACTATACACGATGTGTCGAGGTTAAATATATCAATATGCGTGATATATCAGCTGAATATATCAATATACATGATGTATCGGTCGAATACATCATGTATGGACATTTTGATATGTATCCAAAAATTTCACTAAATGTAACATATTTTTGTAATTTGAAAAAGTGTGAGAATAAAATATAATTAATTTTTATCACAATAAAATTTATGTATAATTTCTATTTATTAAATCTAATATATTTTGAACGAAAATTTTAATTTTTGCCATTTTCATCAAATGCATGAGTCAATTTTCTATTGAATATTGCTACAAGCTGAGAAATAATATTTTTTTTGGAGGTGGGGCCAGTCAGACAGACAAATTTTCGTTACTCTGAATTGGACTACATGCATGAAGATTGTGCAGGTGTTTCTCTGTTCCTTTCTATGGATTTGTTCATGTGAAACCCATACCACGCTATTTCTTGCCTTCTCCAAAACTCATGATATCATCTATATACAAAGTAATTTTAAAAAAAACTTAAGTCATCTGCGGTCACTTAAAATTGTCTGCATAATTCATTTAGATATCTCAACTATTTCTTGTGTCAATTGAACACTTTATTTGTTCAAAAGTCATTCATATTAAACACAAAATGCTGACATGGCAAAAAACGTGTATTTCACTTTCCTTGAGCGCGTTAATTTATTAAAAATAATATTTTTCCTTTTTTCTTTCTTAATTTATACCCCTAAGTTAATTTTAGAAAATTTAATTAACAAAAGAGAAGAAGGACAGTTGTCTTCTTCCCTCTTTCTATCATATTATTCTTTCACCATTTTTATCTTTTTTTTTTACACAGCACACCACACTCCCTCCACCTCTCTTTTTCTCACCCTCATTGTTCTTTCTTGTTTTCCTCTTTTTTCTTATGTCGATTTTCGTCTCAAATATCTCGAAGAAGTTTCATTTACAATGATAAAAAAAATATGAATAGATCTTTTTGGGCAAAAGTCTGTTAATTTTTTTTCAATTCTAATAAATAATTTCTAATGTATAAAAGATGAAGACAATGAGTGAAAAATTTTAATGCTATCGAAATGAAAGAGAATGCATATTTAGCTTGAATAGACACCAATGGTGTGTCATTGTTTCTCCATGGAAGAGAAGAAAGAGATGGAGCGACACCAACTCCATGGAAAATCAGAAATGGGTATTTCTGAAGAAGGAGGAGGAAAGTGGGGAGGGTGGAGGCTTTAATTAAAAATAGATAATTTTTTTTAATTTTTTAAAATACTTTATGAATTAATTATATAGAGGTTTTTAAAAAAAATTAAATGTAATGTCACGTGTCATCATATTATTGGTAAAATTAATATGAATTCGCGTTTGAGATACACGCGTTTTTATTTTTCAATTGATTGTCAGTTTGTGTCAAATATGTATAATTTTTTTAAGGTTTAAGTGTTCAATAGGTACATTCCTTAGTTGAGGTGTTTAAGTGAAATATGAGAACAACTTTAAGTGGCTATGAATGACTTAGGCCTTAAAAAAATTATATTACTAATACTGCAATTTATTATAATTTGTAATTATAAAAGGTTATTTATGGGAAACTTACATATATACTATAATAAACAATATTTACCATTTATAACAATAATATTTCTTTTTCACTTGATCACTTTTAGTTCATTTATAATGCAAGTTTAATTCATATTACAACAAATAATTTTTTATTCTCATATAATACAAATTTTAATGATAGATAATTCATTTATCACACATTTTAATACACTTTTAATAAGATGTGTAAAACTTTTACCAAACAAACATAATATATTTTTAAAAACAATTATAATTCATATATAATTCAAATACATTGCATATATAATTCACTTTTAATACATATTGCAGATTTAACATAATATTTCTATAAATGGTAATAAATAAAAATATTGCTAAATTAGTAATTATTTATTAAAATGTACCAATTCATGTAATTTTTCTTTATTTCTATGCCGATAGCATTGTATAAAATGTTTTTCACTTAACTAGTTTATCAATTTTTATTTTCTACAAATTTCATACTAGTCTTTTATATGTGAATAATTGATTAACTTAACTAGATAGGTGCAAACTTTGTATATTATTTGTGCACAAAATTTAACCCCATGCTTAATAATAAATATTACTTGTACAAATTATCCATAGTTTTGGCTGGAAAGAGGAGCTTCATTTATATTACGGATGATTTTGTTCATATATATGGTTATCTAGCTTCTTTTTTTGGGCGTAATACATGTATTAGATCCTAAATTTGATTTTAAATTTTAACTTTGATCTTCAACTTTCATAATGCACAAATAGACACTTTAACTATCCAACTTTTAAATAAATAAATACATGAGTCCTACATGACACAATACACGTAGGACATCATGTATGACAAAAAATGACATGTAGGATGATATGTAGGACATGTGTGTCTATTTGTTCAACTTTATACAAGTTTAATATTTATTTTTACACATCCAAAAATGAAGGACATAAATATAATTTGAAACTTAGTTAAAAAGCACGGTTTTGTATTATGTTTTTTTTTTGGTCATGTGTGTTGACCCCTTTAATTTAAATTTTTTTACCTAACTTTTTGTCAGGCTAAAGTGTTAACAGTCGAACTTCTTATGTTAGACAAAAACAACTACATATTAATCAAATCTTTTCGTGTCCCAAAAAGATTGAACATTTTATTTTTCTCATCAGTTCAATTTTTGTTCACGTTTTCTTTAATTGATAAATAAATTTATTTATTTGTATGATTTAGATATTTAGTGTCTTTTTAAAATAATAATTTGATTAATAAGATTTGATATGAGATAAATTGATATTTCAATTTTTCTTCTAAGAACGTATTTGATCATTTGAACTCATAAGCGGGATCAAATATGTTTCCGCCAGAAGCTATGTTTGAATAGCAAATGGAATAATCAACATGAAATAGTACTTACAATTGCTAACTAAAAGGGTTAATAAACATCTTGTACTGACCAGTATTCCATCTATCAAACAATTAGTTGATTGATCCTATTTGAATTAATCTTACTTCATCGGTATTAAGTTATAATGTAGAGTAATTGTTACCCAAAAAAAGCTGCAAATGTACAAAATATAATTAAATGAATAAAAATGTATTTTTAATAAATAAAATTTTTGAATAAAACAATCACATTCTTGACTAGCTGGTTATGGGCAACACAATACACATTTGTCTGTTTTTTGTGCTAGACCCACCTACAGATCGTATCTTTTTCTCCTTAAGAATAACATTTTCAGAAGTTAAATATATTTTTCAGTTAAATCAAATACTATATTATTAATGCATTTTAAACCGTAATAATAGATTAGCACTGTATATATGCATAGATTACATTTAAATTAGATATGGAAATTTTATGGGTTATAGACCAATTTAACCTGATAAGATTTGAGTTCTTAAACTTTATTAAAATGAGCAATTGATATGGAGTAATAGAATAAATTGAACATTTTATGAAGAATTGATAATATAATGTGGATTCATTACAATATGTATGATAAGCACTTCTCGTCCTATATCACATGGACGGGGTGCCCCTCTACAAAATGTATGCATTATGATATAAAACTCAACATTAATCTAACTAAATGTTGAGAATATATAATCTGTATAAATAATTACTCATTAGTAACTTTCGTATGTCTAGACTATCGTTCTCTTTGACGTTCATTGAACGATAGTCGAAAAACCCATTTGGAAAATGACTTCTTCTTATTAGAACACTGCTGCTGATTTTGAATATCATCCTTGTTATTAACCCTTGAATCAACAAAAGCCTTCAAACGTTGTATGGCGATATTTAACGTATCTTCTGACATGTTAGCAAAACATGCACGAAACCAACCCGGTTCTGTACAATGGCATGACGATCCAGCTGAAATATTTAGCCCTACTTCGTACACTATTTTCTTCCATAATTCCATTTCTCCATCAAATGTGTTTGAACTTAAAAGATGTCTCATATCCACCCAACAAAACAACCCAGCATTGCTCTCAAGGCACCTTATTCCAATTTGTTTAAGACCACCAACTAGCATTTCATGTCGTTTTTTCAGCCTCTTTTGATTTTCAGACACGTAATTTTTCGTGAACTTTTTGTCTGATAGCAAAGCAGAAAGAAGGTATTGAGTTTGAGATGAAATTAATCCAAAACTAGACATTTTTGTGGCTGCAGAGACGACCCTATCGTCGTTGGAATAAATGGCACCAACTCGAAATCCTGGAAGTCCCAAATCTTTCGAAAGACTATAGACTATGTGAACTCTATCCCATACATCAGTGTACATGTAGTTGTTTTCGATTAGTACTTCCATGACACTGACGAATTTAGGTGAGTTAAAAACAGTGCCAGAATATATCTCATCACTGATGAGATGGATTTGTTTTGTAGATACGAAGGTAAGAAGAAGTTGGAGTTCTTTTTTGGTTAATGTTGTGCCTAATGGATTCGAAGGGTTAGTGACTAAAACCCCTTTCACTCTAAGGTTTCGCCTTTCGGCTTCTGTATAAGCTTCTTCAAGAGCTGATTCTGTGATTCTAAATCCGTTTGAACTTGTGCATTGTATTGGAACAATCTCAGCTCCTGTTCTCCATTTTAAGTCTCTATCAAATCTGCATTATTACACAATATCATAATTAGTAAAGTACATAGTTCGCCCTGTGTTAAAATAGACGATCAATAATAATGTGAGTGTAAACTAAACGTACCCAGGGTAGTATGGAGTGGGAAGGAGAAAAGCATGGCCAGGATCAGCGAGGCAAAACATGAGTGTCTCATTTGCAGAAGTAGCACCAGCTGTAAGTACAAGCTTATTTGAATCAAAGCTTACTTTGTTTCCTCTGATTTCAGACATGAATTGAACCAATGCCTGCATTACAATGTGAGGTTGTGAAGTTAATAATAAATATATGATAAGTCAGTTACGTTAGTCAGTGTATATAAGTCAAATTCGACTGCAATCACAAACTTACATCTTTGAAAGCTGGAAGACCATGGTAATCTTGAAATAAGGAAAGCTCTCTAAATATTGAGTGGCCATTTCTCTTAAATGCAGATGCATCTGGATTTAGAGTAAGCCATGACTCTAATAAATCGAAAGAGAGCTGATTCTCTGCGAGACCCATCTGAATGATTCCTTTAGGATTACGAATTTCATCATATGGGTTTTTCTGATACTCTTCCCATCCTAGAAAGTAGGAAGAATCTTGTCCATGTGAGTTACACATGGCTTTCTTCGATAAAAGCTTCATTTGCACTTGAATTTTTTTATGTTTGTTTTGAGAGGCAGAAAATATTTAGAGAAGATTGTTGCTATGTGTTATATCATGGTGAGGTATATATATATATATAAGAGTTTAGGGATGAAGAAACAAACATATCACCATATGATTTTAAACTTTAACTATACATTTTTTTGTTTTTTTCTACTTTTTTGTCTCCAAACAAACAATTAATTTAAGTGTGTTTGGGAAGTATACACTAAGTTGACGCGCTTTTGCGTCGTATGTTATAATTGAATATTTTTATTTCATGTCATGTAGGGACTATTTTGGATCAATTTTGTACTGGCTTGTCTAAGGGTGTAACAAAAGGGTGGCATTAATGTGACACCCATCAACATTTTTGGTAAAAAAACACTTCGAAAAACATGACAAGTGATGTCTTGGACTCTTGGTGATGCTACTGCCTATTGTCAATGTTGATGCTGTTAGTCTGCTACTATAGTACTGCACTTAATTAGTACCAATATTTTCTATTAGTATTGATAATACACTTTGACATAAATTATTAGTGTCATTTTCGATCATTGACAGTCTTAAAAAAAATTCTCTAAATTTATATATACTTCTGATAAAGCACATTTATATTAAATGATCTCAAAACTCTTGTATGAACATAAGACTCTTAATAAGAAGTCGAGAGAAGTGTTGAAAACATCTAAACTCGACCAAACTTTTTGGGTGTATTTTGACAAGATCAGAGGTATATTTAAGTTCAGTTGATTAAACTTATGATTGAATAAATTAAAAGCGGGCACTAAATATGTAACAACTTATAAACTAAAAGAAGCACAATTCAACCCGCTTCAAATTAAGACATACATTAACAAATAGTATATAATTTATTTTAAGCAAAGTATTGAAAATGGTACAAAATTACCCTTCATCCACCTATTGGCTTCAAAATACCTTTCTCATCCATCTATTGGGTCCAAAATACCTTTGTCATCCACCTTTTGGTTTAAAATTGACCACTTATTTAACGATTTTATATTTAAACTATTTAAATATTTTTTAAAATACCTGGTGCTCAACTATTTGTTATAATTTAACTTATCAGTGTAATTTATAAATCAATCTACTACCCACGCATTACTAATTAAATCCCTCTAAATGAACCCGTCACATTATTAATGCAAGCTACTGCCAATTAAGTGTTCTTAAAAAATATAAAAGTAAATTATCATACATTCAAGTGGCTACATAAAAATCACCGATAAACTTAAAAGTCTGACTATGTTCATCTTAATTATTCTTACGTCTCAATTATGTGATGTTACTTCATAGGTAACTTTTTTTCAAAATAATATATTAAAGGTTTTAAAATAAATCATAAATATTTATAAAATTATATTTAAAAAAAGTGCATGAATTAATTCGGGATGTATTATTTCTTTACCTTTCAATTTTGAAAGAAAGTGTCCTCCTAAATAAGCGGCTCAACCTAAATTTAATTGAGTGAGGTTTAGTTAGTAATGAGTGGGTAGTGGATTGGTTTATAAATTATATAAATAAATTAAATTTATAATTAATAGTTGAACGCCCAGTATTTAAAAAAATATTTAAAGAGTTTAATTTTATAACAATTAAAAAATGGTCAATTTTGAACCCAAAGGTTGATGACAAGGGTATTTTGTAGCCAATAGGTGGATGAAAAAGACATTTTGGAGTCAATAGGTGAATGAAGGGTAATTTTGTACCATTTTCAATACTTTAAGGGTATTTTAGGCCCTTGTCCGTTTAAATTATTAGATGGTAATTTTTTTTTAATTTCTCACTAGATGTGTGAACATTTTCATAATCCTGACCAATTCAGATACACATTGCGTATAATCCATTAAAATAAAATCGTTTCTTACCAAAAAGGTAACTCCTTTCGAGACTTAAAAAACATGCTTTTTAAGTATAAGATTTAAAGAAATTCTATTCATACTAGTAATCCTCGATAATCATTTTACAATTAGATAAGTGATTATAATATTCAGCAATACATATAAAAATATGTTATCCAACTCATACAAAATGTTTTTTTTTAATCCAAGTTATAATAAGAATAATATGAATTTTTTTTGATCTATTTCACGAGGTAAGCCACGTCGATATGATAGTGTAATAAAAGTAAAGGACCCAACTCTCTATAAAAAAAAAATTGAAGTTTGAAATTAGAAATGGAGATCATATAGGGCACTTGAGATCTTGTCATTGTTTTGTGTTTTGGAATGAACAAAATGTGTAATTTATGTTTGATAGGCTTAATACATTACATGTTGACTAGGGAAGAGAAGAAAGAGACATACAAATAATTCCATCCAAAAGTTAAAGAGCAGTCACCATGCATTTGTTTGCCATTGTCCCATTTCCTCACTATGTGTTGCCCACTCAAATCTATTCTTGTCCCTCTCTTAGTCTCAGTTTGGGCTAAAAATATAGTTGAAAAATAAGAACCTAAAATCTTTTTAAATATCTCAATTCTAATTTAATCTATATTTTTTCCACATGGTAGTTTCTTTAATTATTTAAAGTGGAGTAGCCTATAAAATAATGAGTTACAGTCAACATCCGGTTTCTAATAGTTTGGGATTTTGCATTAGTGGAAAGATTAATTAAAACTTTAAAAAAAAGATACGATGGATAAGTTTAATTTAGTTTGCACATAAGAAGCATTCACATTGATTAATTTGACCCAAATCACATTTAGACACAATTAGGATTTTATTGCCTTCAGCTGGTCAGATGGTAGTAATCCCTCCCTTCTAGTGATTATTATCAAGTGAGATTGCATGAGTGATAAATACTCTATTGTTTCATCTCAAGGTCAATTTACTCCGCAAACTCTTAAATCACACTTAGATTCATTTGGCCATACGATTTGAAATCATGATATTAAATAATGAGAAGTTGAAGTTATGTTTGCAAATATGATTTAAACGTTTTAGTTTTTATGTCGTATGTTTTCTTATGAATATAAAAAAACTCATTAATTGTAAAACAATTAAAATTGTCTCAATTCTTAATACAATCTTATCAAACATGTAATAGTTTGCTTACATGGGGATGATAAACATCCCTAAGTAATTCTATAATAAGGGTATATTTTAATGTATTTACTTTCTATATTTATAATTTCTTTTTTTCCCCATAATTAATGGATCCACCACCTATTCATTAACCAACAGTGAGAAACCTTTATTTTGATTTTGTATATAATTTTATACAAATCAATATTATCTTTCATATTCCTATTCCACCTCTTTCTCATATATCACACTTTTTATCTGATTTTGAATTTCAAATTGGCTGAAAATTCACTTTCTCCCTCCGATATTGAATTCAACTTTCCCAGGTAACCCCTAAAATCTTGTTGTGTATCAATTGTTTTTATTTTTTCGTTATTCAACAATAGTATATGTATTGTGTTTCTTACTTTTTTCATATTTTTTGTTCAAATAATCAATCAATCTTATTAGATTATAAATTCTTCAAAATCAAAATAGAGAGAGATTCTGAAATTGACCGATTCGAAAAACATCAGGATCATGAGTTAGTGGCTTAAAACACAATTTTAGATAGAATATTTTGTTACTTATGTGTTAATATACAAAAATTAAAACAAATATTTGTTTAAGTAATTTTTGTATATTCACAAAATTGTATATAGTATATTGCATGTTTAATACACACATGCTCTAGTTATATGTATATTCCCTTAGTTATTGTACGAGTCTGTATATTCTATTAGTTTATACAGAGTATTTAAGTTATGTATATAATGACTAGTATACTAAGTTAATATGGGTAGTAGTGAATTTTCAAAATAGCCAATGAAGCCATTATCCGTAGAATTTTCAAAAATAAATTCATTTCAAATCATGCACAAATATCATTTACACAATTGGTACAACATTTTTATACAATCTATTTAACAAACTTATGTTTACCCTTATCTTCGTGCTCATATACAAATATTGCATCTAAAAATGTATATAATTGTCTCCTACAGCTTTTCATGTTATAAACTTATATAGATTTCAACATATACATTACTGCATTATTTGTATATGAATATTAGAAATCACAAAACGTATACTACACAACTATATTACAGGTAACGAAAATAAAGACAAAATTATAATTTAATAGATATATACAATTTTATAAAACGACCTTTATATACAAAAAATTAATATACATTTGCACATTGGAATTACTACAACAATTTGTTTATAAATATTAGAATACATATACTACCGTTTACGATAGGTGCTCAAATCAATTTTTCTAAAACACTCCAGAATATCGTTTATACTATTACGCTATGGACATATACAAGTTTCAACACAGAAAGGACCGCAGATATATCCAAATTGGTAAATACAATAGAAAATTGTATAATTATTGCAATTAAAAACATGAAGTTTCCTTTAATGAACATTATTTGTATTTGAATATACCCAAAAAAAAAAGGTTAAACTGATGCTTCGTTCATGCGCAAAAACAAGTTTCTTTTGTCTTTCAATTGTTGTATAATTTTTATTTTGAAAAAAAAAAGTGATTTTGAATGTTTACATAAATTATGACATTATCTAAATTTATTGTTACCTTATTTAACACTTCAGTTACAATCCACTTTTTTTTAAAAAGAATTTGTATAAATAAAAAAATAAAAGAAACGTTATATACAAAATTAAAGAAACCTAAATGCCTAAACTATATCCATAAAATGTAATTATGTAAACTATACCCATCTAATGTTATTTCATCAATGAAATTTGACATATATTAAATTTTCCCTTTATAAATCACATATTATATATACTATCACAAAGTTATTCTAGAAAAAGATTAATCAAACTTCAATTCATTATAAATTATATCTTTCATTTATATATGAAATTAGTGTTAGTAGATATAAATTTGAGGTTGTTTTAACAAAATATAAACTGGTAAGTCATTTTTTATATTTGAAAATTTTCAAATCATGATTTTTGGAGAATTTAGAAATTCATCTCATGGTATGAGATCATGAGATAAAATCACATGTCCA